GTCTACCCAAATCTTGGGACTGTAACCTTATTTGGAAATAGGGTCTTTGTGTCTTTGTGTATGGAATCAAGTTAAAATAATGTCATACTAAATTATAGTGTCCTTATAATAAGAGAGAAATTTGGACAAAGCACACACAGAAACCTGATGGCCATATGAAGACAGAAACAGAGATTGTAGTTATGTTGCCACAAGCTGAGGTGTGCCAAGGATTTCAGTGGCTGTCAGAAGATAGGAGTGAAGCAAGGAACATATTCACTCTCAAAGAGTGTAGAAGAAACCAACCTTTCAGAGACTTTGATTTTGAACTTGTAGCCTACAGAACTGGGAGAAAATAAATCTTTTCTTTTAAGACTCAGGTTTTGCTAATTTGTTACTAAAGCCCTAAAGAACTAATACAAATATATTTAATCTGATTAATATTTGTCAGTCTTTAAAAACAGCCAATGAGAGTGTATCAGTAAGAGTTCTCCAGAGACAGAGAACCAATTGCCTAATACTTATTATGAGAATTGGCTCAAGTGATTTTGGAGGGCAAGAAGTCCCATGAACTACCATTATAAGCTGGAGAACCAGGAAAGCTGGTGGTGTAATTCAGTTTGAGTCCAAAGTTCTGAGAACCAGAGGAGTTGATAATATAAGTCCTGATCTGACTGCAAAGGCTAGAGAATAAGGAGTGCTGATGTCCAATGGCAGGAAAAGATGGATGTCACAGCTCAAACAGAGAAAGTGACTTCACCCTTCCTTTGCTTCTTTTTCTTCCCCTATTCAAGCCTTCCACAAATGGAAAATGATGCTGGAACCATTGGTGAGGGCTATTTTCTTTTTTCAGTGTACTGATTCAAATGCTAATGTCTTCTGGAAACACTCTCACAGATACACCCAGAAATAATGTTTTAATGGTTATCTAGGCATCTATTAGCCCAGTCAAGTTGACACATAAAATCAACCACCACAGAGAACAAATGTTCAATGTATTTAAAACTATGAAGGTTAGATTTGGATTGAACTATTTTTTTTTCTAAATTTTACTCTATTAGAATGATACATTTCTTAAATTGTGAGAATAAAAGAGATAGTAGTAAGCATAAAACATTACCTAGAATTTGGTGTTTTTCTAAGTTATAAATAATTTCAGATCTTGTGTTGTTATTATCAGAGATAGAATTTAACATTTGATGATTTCCTAGTATACTTGATTGCTTTAAGTCTAATTATTTTATGACTAGATGAATATAGATATCCTATAGAAGAGATGGATCTCTCTTCTGGCAACATTCTGGTTAGGGGTACCCATCTCACTGTCTACTCCCCATTAACATATTTAATCATTTCAAATTTGTGATAGAGACTCTCAATTTTCCCCCAATATCCAATTATCACATTTTTTCTCAGTAATAGAACTCTTAATAACTACCCAGAACAAAGAATCCAGTAGCTAAATGTGGTCATGTGACCATGTTCTAGCTAGTGGGATGTAAGCAGAATTGTGTATAAAACTCAGGAAGTATACCTAAAAAGACACACTGCCTTTTCTTCTCCTTCTCCCTCTTCTTCTTGCTTAATCCTTTCTCCATCTTATTTTTTATATAATATATATGAGGGCAAAATTTCATAAAGTTGTCTTAGATCATGAAGTAGAAACTATTTATTATCTCAAATTTTCTAGGATCAGGAGTTACGACATGGTATAGGCTGATCCCATGCGCTCAGGGTCCCATGAAACTGAAATCAAGGTTTCGAATGGATCTGTTGTCTCATCAGATGCTCAGGGTCCATTTTGCAAGCCCATGCGATAGCAGCAAAATTCATTCACCCCATAGCAGTTGCAGTATCGAAGCACTCTGCTACCTACTAGAAACTGCTTGTTGTTTTTTGCTTTTGCTCTTCTTCACAACATGACAATTCTCCTTTCCTGGTCAGTAAGAAAGTGTCTCTGCTGCTTCAAGTGTCTAACTTAGGGAAATCCCAGAATCTTTTTTTTTTAAAGGTCTTGTCTAATTATGTCAGGCCTACCAAAAATACATTCCCTTTTGATAACTCATAATCAACTGATTAGGGACCTAAATTACATCTGCAAAATCCTTTTACCTTTCCTTATTCTATAGGCTAGAATTATGTCACAGCTTTTGCCTACATAAGAAGATTACATACACTAGGGAGCAGATGTACACTAGGGAGCAGAAATCTTGGAACCCAGGTTACAGTTCTGCCTACCACACTGACAATTGTGAAAGCACAAAGTAAATTATGAGAAAACTAAATGACTGCTGAAACTTGGGTTTCTTGTGCACAAGAAAGAAATTTATATATCTTGCTTATACTGCTGCCATTTGTGTTTGAAACACATATAGTCAAAGCTAATGCTCACTACTGTTTATAACAGAAAACAATTAGCAATACTACATAGCTGCTTGCTTCTGAGTCCTCATTTTCTCCTGAATATGATACCTCCTTTCTTATTCATCTTGCATTCTCCTTTCTGTGACCTTGTTAGCACTTTGTTAGATAAGCCATATGAGTTGGAAAATTAGTATGTAAAAATTTTCTTATCTTGGCTGTGAAATTAATTTTTAGTTTAGAATTAGCTTTATATAAATATCTTTTAAGTTTCCCTGCCTTGGCTCTCAATCATAAAATATGGGAGTTTTGTCATAAATACTTGGGAAACACATCTGCATTATGATTTCCCCTGACCCCTCCTGCTTCCTTTTTTCCCACTTTAGCTCCCAACAATAAAGATTATTGGCCACAATATATGTAAGGAATGAGTTTAGAATATTATTTGGAGGGAGGAATTCTAGCTTACTGCTTCTTTTCGGGATGCCTGGAATAACCTGTGTTTAATTTACAAAAAGTAAAACAAAAAATAAACATTATAGGATATGGGATAAAGCTGAGAATTTCTTAATCTCCTAGAAAATTTTTGCATACCTTTCATCTGATTTATGATAGTAAAGATGAGTAGTCTCCCTCTCTCATCTTCCCCCACTGCCTCTGTGGGGGGCCTGCTGGTTACACTTTTCTGACTTCCTCACTTTATGCAGGAACTTAACTGTGAAGTAAATTTCCAGACATTTCACTATTTACCTTTATCCACGCTATCTCTGAGAAATTATTATACATAAGCTTGATTTTCTCTGGAAGTTACAATTCATAAGCAGACAGCAGCTTTAAATTTTAAAAATATAAATGGAAATATATGGTATCAAACACTAAAACTGATCTATTTATATATATGTGTCTATATGTAATTCTGCTGTTTCTATTACCTTCCACAAATCCCCAATTTTTGATAGTTAGCAATGTTCTTAGGAACATTGCCTAATGAATCCCACAATTTTCTTATAAACGAATTTACGCATACACTTTGAAGAAAGAAAGCAAGAAATAAAATAAATGCCCTGGTGAACAATTGCCCAGAGTCCTTGAAAGGAAACATGAAACAATGCTTTGGGGAAATAATGCTGAATATAATAAAAAATGTTCAGTTGAAGTTTAGAAAGTGAGAGAAACATGAACTCCTTAATGAATTCATCTCATGGCTGCTCTGATACTAATCTAAATATAGTCAGCTTAGAATTAGTAAGTTTTTGTCATATTTATTTTTATTCAAAGTTTTTCTTTATCTATAGTAATTAGTTTCTATAAATATCAAATTCATGTTTATATAAAAGTTTTCTTTAAGACATCGACCAATGAAATTGGAATAAAATTTCAAATATAGAGCAAAGTTCAGAGTTTACAGATTTAATTTAACTTTTAAGATTAAATATACTTAAGAATTTTGGTTTTTTCCTAAAAACTTTCTTGTATTTATGAAATAAAATTCAGCCCTTTATTTTCTTTTCTACTATTCTATATACATTATCTATGACACTTTTAAAATACAGTGGCTACAATACATATATTCACCAACTATATCAGGTAGGATTCCATCTGGAAAACAAGACCACTAGGGCTATTATGGAATCAGGAACTTATTATTGAAATTAGGTCTTGCACAATTACTGGAGGAACTGAAGAAGATTAAATTAAATAATTAAAAGATTAGAAAAGATGAGGAATAAAAAAACACTAAGCCCTTTGTAGATGTAAAAGTCAGAGTTGTCAGGAAGCTCCCAGATTGGAACTACAAAGCAAGTGAATGTTGGCTCTTTGCTGACTATCTCTGAGATCAAAGGTAAGTAGCTCCTTGGTCAGCAGGGCCAGAAATACTGAGTGGAACTGGTCAAGGAGTAGGGAAAAGTGAGGACAAACTGCAACTCTGAACTTGTTTCTTTTTTTTTTTTTTTGAGACAAGATTTTGCTATTTTGCCTGGGCTAGAGTGCCGTGGCATCAGCCTAGCTCACAACAACTTCAAACTCCTGGGCTCAAAGTGATTTTCCTGCCTCAGCCACCCAAGTAGCTGGGACTACAGGTGTGTACCACCATGTCCAGCTAATTTCTTTCTATTTTTAGTAAATGTGGGTTTTGCTGTTGCTGAGGCTTGTCTGAACTCAAGCGATCCTTCCACCTCGGCCTCCCAGAGTGCTTAGGATTACAGGCCTGAGCCACCATGCCTGTCTTGCACTTGTTTCTCACTGCCCTAAATGATGAGGGCTTTCAAAGTACAATAGATTTTGTTTCACCTTCTTCTCCCCAGTCTTACACAAGTATCTCCTGTGGCCAATTTTGACCTCAATCCACTCAAGAATGGAGATTTTGGGATGTATCATGTATTACCAGCCTAAATTTACAAAACACAAACTACTCACCAACCCTGAAGCTGTCACATTTTCAGGGAAATCTGCCTTGATTTTAATAGTATAAATGGTGAACATTTAGAAATCAGCTTTTCCACTTCTCTGCACAGATGAGAAAACAAAGTGCCAAAGAGGATAAGTTAAGTTTTCAAGGAAACACAGACAGTTGACGTTTAAACAAGTTTATCATTTTAAATCTCAGTCCAAGTTCTTCCTTTTCTAACACAACAATGATAACTTCTTACACTTGGGGACGGGATTCTGGATTATATTCAGTGTCACTATAAAACCTGTAGAGAAAGAGAAAGTACTAAATAAGGCACTTTGCAGATTGGTACTAAAGTCTGTAAATTTTCCTATTAACTACTCTATCTTCCAGAAACAATGTAAAATGGCCTCTTCTGTCAAGCTTCCATTTATAACAGACCATTACAAGAATTTCTTTTAAATCATTTTAAGGCATCTCGTCATTTTATATTATCCTTGTCCATATGGTACTGTATGAATTATTGAAGGTTAATGCATCTATATTTTGAGTGACCAAGCTATGCCCAATGATTTTAAATATTAAGTCATTCTTTTCCCCCTGGTATGATGATAAATTTACATTATAATTAACAGCCAAAGAATTCCTTTTTATGTCATATAATGATGCCTTCTTTCAGCTTTGCTTTTCAGACAGTACATAATAAATCACAGGGGAAAATCTTTATTTTTAATATTCACATTTATGTATTTAATGAACATTATTGAATTTTTCAAGTACTTATTGGAATGGAGGAGAAATATTTGTGGACTATTATTTTATTTCAGATTACAGAATGCAGCATTCTGCTGAGGCTGGAATGCTAATAATTAGTACCTCTATTAGAAGTCAGCTCCTGGTTTTCAGCCATATTATGCTGGGAAGCTATGTTTCCCAAGTGAACAGAGAATTATACAGTTTTATTAAAGAAGAGCATTTCCTTTGAATATAATTTTAAGAAAATCTTCAAAGGAAGGAATTTAAAGCCTCAAATCAGAGCACAGCACTAATTAGTGTGTAACAATGATTTAGGCGGAGAGCACCAGGCCTTGTTAATTTTCCAGGCGCATTCTGTAGTCTCTTTGCTGTATGTTTCTTTTGATGAGTCAATTTTATCTAGGTGCAGCTTTTTATATTTTAAATACTGTCATAACACTTCTAAAGTTTTAGAGAATGGTACATACTGATGCTGAAATCTGGCAATTATCTTCTAACTCTGCATTTCAGCAACTAATTTTATGGCACAGATTAAATTGCTTAATTCAATTTCAAGTATTTTGCATTTATAATATTGCTTTAAGTGGCATGTCTCTGAATAAAGTAACTACCTATTTGTTTATGTAGCTTTCACACTTAGAAATAAAAATGTGCATCAATCATCAATTATAAATCAAGTTATTTAAGATTCAAAAGTGGCAGAAGTGTGAGTTCCCTTGATCATGTACTATCTTGTGATGCCTTTTAGGAATTATAAAAGTTAAAATATCAGCTTCCTAATTTTAAAATGCTATGTACTACAAATGAGTTATCAGAATAGACTGCTTTCTTCATTTAGTAAATAGTGAGGTATTGATCTGAGAATGTCGTGGGAAATTAGAAAACAGGAACACCGGAATGTCATATAACTATGATTTATGACTTTGCCAATATGAAGTAGAAATTGATTACTATTAAGGTCAATATCAAGATTCATTGACTCAGGTATACATAGTGACTAAGGCTAAATTGAGAATCAATGCTTACATCAAGAAAACATACATCTTCCTATGGATAAAAGCATGCCAATATATGCTGCCATCCTGTTATTACCTATTATGAGAATTTAATATTTGAAGCATGATAAATACTTTCTAATTAAAAAAAAATCATCCACTGCTGCTTCTATTAGTCTCTGTATCATTAGTGATGGAATATTAGATTATTTCAATTAAAAATTAGTATTTGTATCAAATAAAAATGAATCATAACTACAGTTCTCTTCAGAATTATTGAAAAATCCAAACTGCCTTATATAGTACCCTGAGGAAGATTCATAAACATCACAGCACCAATATGCAAACAGATATACTCCCATTATGTAAGTTTGGAAAATGCATACATATGAATGAATATATAACTAAATCAAGTTTACAAAAAGTGATTTGTGGAGTTAAATACTAAAGACTTATAAGACATGCATTTTAAAAAACATACAATTTATACTAAAGAGTGTGTTATATTATAGCCCAGCTTGCCTAATATTTCTTAGGTATTTTAATTAAAATTTTAAACAATTCTAACCCTCTTCACTTTTCCCAAGTGTTTCCCCCTATTATTTTGCTAATTTTTTATTTCGTTTTGTTTATTTTCACTTTAAACTAGATCAATATGATTGACTTATGTCTTTCATGATTTTATTAGGTTAATAAAATGTAGCTTTAAATGTAAAATAACGTCAAAGCATTTATTTAGTGAGGTTTTAATTCCATAATTAAACATTCAACACTCTATTTATCCTGGAAGGCTACACATGAGCTCATTATAAAGTTAGATGTCAGAGATACAATCATTAATTTAAAATTCTTAAAGAGCTTCTACAAACTGTCAGATATTCTTTTAAGTACTAAGGATAGTTGCTGAGCAAGGTAGATCTAGTACCTGTTCTTATAAGGAACACAGACAATTAGCAAACAACACCCCACTGCTATGTAATTACAATTGTGGTAAATAATAGTAAAGTATGTCCAGTCTGACCAGGCAAAGATATTCCAGGTAGTGGACTAACTACCTTAGTTTTGGGGGACCAACTCAAACTTTTGTATATCAGTTATGTATTCCAAAAAGGATGTAGTTTATGCCTTTGAAATTCACCTTTCTAATTTCTCATTGTGTCCAACTGAGAGAAGAGTTTGTTCCAAGATTTCTCAGAATAGGCTACAGACCAGTACAAATACAAATCTATGGAACACTTAAAAAAAATTTGACTTGTAGACAAAATTAGAAGCAAAAGATAGGAATAAGAAAGCTCACTTTTAAGGATTACTGGAGTAAAAATGTACTGGAAGAACGAATATGGCAAGGAGCAAAATGATAGTAGTGCATTATTTTCTCCCTAACATAAGATGTGGAGAATATTATTCCAGGGTGGCAATAAGGACACAGTTTGTGCAAACACTCATAAAACTAGATTGGTTATGTTTGTGAACATTGCATGGCAAATAAAGACACTACATTGAAATTATAAGACTGTGAAATTCAACTCTTTCTCTGGTCAATTAATTTGCCTTTAGTTATTAAGTTTTTGTCCTATATAAGAAACCATGAAACTGAACAAGTAATCTGAATTATATTAAAGTTTATCCTCCATGGAAAGTAATGGAAAATCCAGAAAATTCTTCATATTTTAATAATATTTTTCCTTCCTTCCTTCCTTCCTTCCTTCCTTCCTTCCTTCCTTCCTTCCTTCCTTCCTTCCTTCCTTCCTTCCTTCCTTTTTTCCTGATTTTTGTTATACACAAGTTCTCACTCTGTAGCCGAGGCTGGAGTACAGTGGCACAAACATAGTTCACTGCAGCCTCGAATTCCTGGACTCAAGTAATCCTCCCACCTCAGCCTTCCAAAGTGCCAAGATTACAGATGTGACCCACTGCTTCCAGCTTCCCCAATACTCTTAATCAATTAATCAATAAAATAAAAACTATTTGTTAAGCATTTAGAGAATAAAACAAGCAAAGCAAAACAATGCAAAACACTAAAACAAAAACCATTACTCCTTATTATAATGATAAATGGATGGATGGATAGTAGATATGTACAGGGTCAGGGGAAATGCTAATGACTTTTATTCTTTTACAGTGAAAAATTGAGGATATCTTTACTCTCCACATTACCTGGTAGGCCATAAAACCATTTCCACTCTTTGGTCATATGAAATTCTCATCTGTTTCCATGAATAGTTCCAAACGTTCTGTTGTCTTACTTTTTCTCTAACCCTGACACTGAATGCTACCATCCACATCATTTAGCCTTAAGAACATATGAGAAGACAAAGCAAAAAACTAGAGTTTACATTTGAGAAAATTGAGTTAGAATGATCACAGCACAACACGTTGAAAATTCTAGTATGAGCTCCCATTTGGAACTTTTTTGAGTACTCATTTTTTTTTATTCATTCTTACCCAATCTTTGTTTTATAAAGAGACCACCAATTATTACAAAAACTGCATTTTACTTCTACAGTGACACACAGTACCTTTTTTTCTGCCCAAGGATAGTGACTCTTAGCATAGGAATTCCAAAAGTACTTCAAGTGTGAAAGACAGAGATTTTTATTGGTAAAAATCATGGAGCAGCAAAGCAATTCCATACTATCCATTGATCTTACACTCAAGTGAATGGAAACTTCCTTAATTTCTGTGTTGGTAGCAGGATTCCAAAAGTACAGCATGAGGCAAGGGATAATAATGCTGTTTAACTTTCAGTGATTATTACTAAATAAAGCTACTAGTAAAGTAAATGTTATTACCAAGCGTAAAAAAAATACAACATTGTGAGTCTGAAATGATTGGTTAAATTATAAAGAATTATAATAACAAATGCACTTACAGCTGCATTTCTAAAATTATATTGAACTTCATTATAAATAGAATTAACAATTGCATCAGAAGTCTGTAGCTTTGCTAATATATCTGCTCTCCTTTCAGTTCAGATTGACAGTATTTGAGACATAGGGATAACTGATGGTACATTTACACTAAACTGTGTTACAAGATCTGTAAGACAATAATACTTCGATTGAGCACACAAATGTAGATGTATTCCATAGCCAACCTCATTTTATTTCTTGGAGAATGCTTGGCATGCCAGCGAATGCTTTAAATATGCTTTGAACACAGCAGCACAGGAATTGCATGCAGCGATTGTCCCTTCCATCCAAGTCTTACAATTGCAAGACTCCTTGGAGAACAACTTTCTGAAATTCAATACAAATTTAGACTCTAAACTATAGCACAATATGTAATTGTAAATTATTTAAAACTTCCAGTGCATTCAGTGCAGTGTGCATTCACATCTGTCTTTATAAATAACATATTTTTTCTTCATGTACTGAATTATAAAAGCCACAATCAGTTCATCTTGAACAACCCTGTCCTTCTTTCTGATACATTATTCAGCTACATCATTTTGGAAAGATCAACTTACATATTACCCAGAAAGATTCAGGCCCTGGAGAATGTATTAGCAAGAAAACATCCCATTAGTAAACCTTCCCCTCTTATACAGATA